CGGCCCCAGCCAAGCCACCCCCTCCTGCCAGAGCCGCCTCGCGACCCTCCGGGCTGACCTACAACGGCGCACCCGCTCGGGCCCCGCTGCCGGCCACCGGGGAAAGTCTGACCCTTCACCCCGCGACCCTGCAGCAGCTCACTTCCGCTTCCGCCTGGCCCCGCCACCTTCCGATTACACTCCACCCAGAAAGCCTGTGATAAGGAAGTTTATTCCCCGACCGCTCGGCGGCGCGGTGCCCTTTCTCTGCCTCCCGGTCAGCCCCGCCCACCCCCCTTCCCAGGTTCCGGGCCCACGCAGGAAGGTTCCATCCAGTTCTGCCCATGATTAGCCTGCCAGGCCACGAATCAAGCTTTTCTTCCACGCCGACAGGCGCATGGAAGCGAAGGCCGTCAGCGGAAGATGACGTGTAGCGCTCGCTACAGGCAGAACGAAACTACCGGGGCCGGAAGTGGCTCTACTCGGAGCCGTTTTCCAGACGCACCAGTCTTTTCCTTCTCGTGCGGCGCCCGTAGGGGAGCATCGGTGGCTGAGGCGCGAGCTGCCCACCACGGCCCCAGCCCCACGCGCTGAGCCGCCATGGTGAGGGGGCGCCGGGAGGGGTGAAGAGCGGCTCCGCCGGCGGGAGGGGGCCTTGGGCCGGGCGTAGCCGGAGTTTACTTGTCCCGAGAGCAGCGGGGCGTCCCGAAACAGCCGCTGCCCTCGCTCTCCGGGCAAGCGCGGCGTGGACCCGGAGTCCCCCTCCCTGCCACCGGGGACTCTCCCCGTTGCTGCCCTGCCCTCCCCCTTTCTGGGGCGCGCCCCGCCGTTCAGACGAGGGCTGTAACTTACAGGGACTAATGGACTGTGAGCAAAAGGTTATGGGATAGTTGACTAGCCGCCTCCCCCCCCCCCTATCACAAAGAGGCAGCAGGAGGGGGAAGAGGAGAGGGTGCTGGGGGAGCTGGCTTAAAAGCCGGTTCTCCCCCGCTCCGTGGGAGGGGACAGGAAGCACCCACATGGAGCCTAGGGTCAGTGGGTGACTCCCTGCTGGCACTGGGCTCCATGCCGCACACTAGTCCTTGTGGACTAATTGATGAAAATCCCATCAGCTATTTGATTAGTTAACTAATCAACATTTAACATCCCTAGTTCAGACCAGTGCCCTGGAGCCAGGTGGTCTCAATCTACAGTCCCTGCTGCTGTACTTATAGACAGCTTGGTACTGTGCTCCGCCCCCCCCAGCTCCATGTCTGTGAAGGGATGCTCGGCCACCACATGAATCATGTTCCTGCAAACAAAAATTTAGTAAACTAATCTGGTTGTTGCTTTTCTTTGATTGGATGGAAGATGATAATATTTATACCTGTTTTGTAACAACTGGGGGATGGTCTGATCCTGTAATGTTGGAGACCCAGTTCACTGTATTGATAGGCAGATATTTCAAAAGACTATCTTGTAAATTTGAGCTATAATTTCAGTGCTTATCATTGCACACAAGCCACCATTGCTTTCTGTGTGGTTCAAGTAGGGCATGAGGAAGGGGATGATGGCAGAATTCAATATAATAGGCCTTTGCTAATATAGACAGGTTCCCCACAGTCTGTAGAGGGATACAGGACTTCTCTTTTGAGTCATCCTGAAGTGGAGCATGAACCATGATCATAGATAAATCTCATTCATTGCAAATAGGATATGAGAGGTTGACATATCTACCTATGTCGTCAATTCTACATATGGCTTCTATTACCATAGTCGTGCCTTATGGGTGTTTAGCCTCACAAGATCAACCTAAGAGAGGGAAAGATTATTAGATCCACTTTTTTCATAATGAGAATTAAGTCAGAGACACAGACTGATCATCCAGGAAGTATGTTGTCAAATAAACCTGGGAACGTTTGTTTTATCTCTCTGGAGAGAGGATGAGAACAGCTAAGTTTCAGAGTGAGGGAGTAAGTTTTGTTTTAGTTTCACTAAGCTGATCTCAGGAACCAAGTGTGTGCGGATCTAGACACTGTATGTGCACTACACCTGTTGTAACCACATTATGCTGTCATCAGCTATCTCTAAGAAGTATTCAGTCATAGCGAATGTTGGCTCTGTGGTACAAACTATTGAAGATAAGAGGAAATTGAGTATATTGTGCAAAAAGCTTCTTTGACACACTTTACTAAATTCTAAACAATATTCCTTGCTTTTACAGCCACAGAATGATTACATAGAGTTACACCGCAAGCGATACGGTTATCGCTTGGATTACCATGAGAAGAAGAGGAAGAAGGAGGGCCGTGAGGCTCATGAACGGTCAAAGAAGGCCAAGAAATTGATTGGGTTGAAGGCCAAACTCTACCATAAGCAGCGCCATGCTGAGAAGATACAAATGAAAAAGACGTGAGTATCCATGTTTTCATTGATATTGTTGAAATCTCATGATAGCTCAAGGTTGTGACTTAGAGTAGTTGATGTAGTTATGAAATGTTAAGCTACGATCCGTAGAGGAGGCCCATTTAAATTATGCACTACAGCTTCAAAAATGCATATTTACAGGAACAAAATTGTTCTGTGCCATAATTAAAATATTTCTCCTTGCTCTCCCGTCTATTCAATGCTAGCAGTGGACCTAGTATCTAGCACTAGCACTACCAATAATGAACATTAAACACTGGAACTGCTTCTAACATCATTATTAAGTAATGGGTTAGGGCCTTTCCATGACTCTCCTATTTATTCAGATATTTTTCTGCCTTCTTTAAATGTATCA